CCGTATATATACATTAATAAATAATAATAATTAAACATTAAATAAAATAATGCATATGTAATTTATCAGAAACACAAAAAAAACGTTAGGGTTTTACATTTCAGAAAAGCAGAATAATATATATATGAATGTACTGTATGTATGTATGTATCACCTAAACCACACATAAATAAAGTCATTACTATTGATTACTGTCATAATAATTAAAACAAAACTTCACCAAATTAAGTGCTTATGATCACAGTAAATAAATATGCATATATACAAGCACTTTTATATAATGGCACAAATACTTACAATGTTCCCTCATATGCTTTTTCTTATTTCCTGTGCAGTGTGATGGTACTGATCTAACTAGTAAAGTGCAGGATATGAAACTGCAGTGCCTCCTGTTCCTCAACATCCCCAGGTAAAACTGACCTGAAATGGAACTGTGCAAAACAAATGTCTTATGTAACTACCATATAACAGAACCTATGTACATTCTTGTATTAATTTGTGCGCTATTTGATATAGATCCTCTTTATTTTGGCATAACGAAATTTAATTTGAGAAAAAAACGAATCTTCACTCTAGTTGCCAGTCAGACCATTGCTTCCATGTGACATCAAATTTCATGTCATCAAACCATGACAGGAAACTTGGACTGAAAACCATATTATAAAAAGAGATTCGCTGTTCCAAATTATGTTTAATCCAGGATAAAATATAATCTAGACACAAGAAACTAGCCTAGAGTTCATTAAAATGAGATTATCCTGACTGAGCTGGGCATTATGTTCTGTAGATATTGCGCTGGTACGATGCCATGGGGGAACCCAAGTGAGCACAATGACTTTGGGCCACAGAAACATGACGACGGGCTCATTGAGGTTATTGGCTTCACCATGACCTCTCTGGTGAGATTTGGCTTTGGTTCCTTAATGGATTTGGTCTACATTTACCCTTGAATCCATCCAAATGTTGCTGCTCTCTTTTTATAGGCGACGCTGCAGGTTGGAGGACATGGCGAGAGGCTTCATCAGTGTCAGGAGGTGACCCTGACAACCTTTAAGCCCATTCCTGTGCAGGTGGACGGAGAACCCTGTAGACTGGCTCCATCCGTCATACGCATCACCCTCAGGAACCAGGCCAACATGCTGCAGAAGACCAAGAGAAGAATCTCTCTACCACAACTGTATGAGTCAGTATCTATCTATCTATCTATCTATCTGTCCGTCCGTCCGTCCGTCCGTCTGTCTGTCTGTCTATTTATCCACCCATCTGTCTGTCTGTCTGTCCGTCCGTCCGTCCGTCCGTCCGTCCGTCC